AACGGGACACCGGGAGGGGACAGCACAACGGGACACCGGGAGGGGACAGCACACCGGGACCGCACAACGGGACACCGGGAAGGGACAGCACAACGGGAGGGGACAGCACACCGGGACAGCACACCGGGACAGCACAACGGGACACCGGGAGGGGACAGCACAACGGGAGGGGACAGCAGAACGGGACACCGGGAGGGGACAGCACAACGGGAGGGGACAGCACAACGGGACAGCACAACGGGACACCGGGAGGGGACAGCACAACGGGAGGGGACAGCACAACGGGACACCGGGAGGGGACAGCACACCGGGACAGCACAGCGGGACAGCGGGAGGGACAGCCCCGAGGGAGGGACAGCACACCGGGACATCCCCCCGGGAGGAGACATCCCACCGGGACCGGACAGCCCTGCGGGAGGGAGGGAACAGCCCTGCGGGAGGGACAGCCCACCGGGAGAGACAGCCCACCGGGAGGGACATCCCACCGGGACCGGACAGCCCACCGGGATGGGACATCCCACCGGCACCGGATATCCCACCGGCACGGGGCAGCCCCGTGGGAGGGGACATCCCTGCATTCCACTCGAGGGGACGGCGCGTACCCGCTGCGGATGTATCCCCGCGGGGGTCCCCTCGGGGTGGTCCATCGCTGTACCCCGCGGGTGCCCCTGTGGGGCTGTGTCCCCGTGGGGATCTCGCCATGCACCCTCGGGGAGGTGCATCCCATGGGAGTCCCATCCCTGTGCACCCCCATGCCGGGGTGTCCCCGTGGGGAGCCCCCCGTGCAGGAGCCCCTGCGTCCCCCCACTTTGCCAGCCGTGGCTGTGCATCCCTGTGGGGTTGCTGCCCCCCATACCTGCATTCCCTATAACAGCACCCCGCTCTCCCGGGTGCTTCATGCCCACCCGTGACCCTGTATCTGTGTGGGGATCCCCCTGTGGCCTCCACCCCAGTACCCGCTGGGCCTGTGGGGACACCTCTGTCCCTGCCTGGTGGCCTGGTGGCCTCCAGCTGTCCCTGACCTGCTGCAGACAAGCAGAGACATCCCTGCACCCCGTCCCACCTCAGGGACCCTGGTGTGGGGGACAGAGTGCACAGTGCACACGGGGGGCTGCGCAGGGGACCCCAGGGTGGCGGTGGGTGCCACCAAGGCTGGCACAGCCAGGACAGGGTGATCAGCCATGGCCCTGGTACCCGGGTGGGGATGGCACAGCTCGGGGTGGCTGTGGGGGGCACGGTGTTCCCAGGAGGAGAAGGGGGGTTTGGGGTGGCCCCGCTGCTCCCGGGAGCCCTGCGGAGCTCTGCCCCATTCACAGAGGATGTGACAGCAGAATAAAACCACCCGTGCTTCGCTTTGCTGAATTCCAGCTTTTTAATGCCTGTAACAATCCTCTGGGCACCACGTGGTGACAGCAGCCGGAGGCACCCGATTCCCCCATGGGAAGGAGCTGCTGTCCCCGCACGGGGACACCCCGGCACCACCCACATCCCCCCACAGCAGCCACAACTGCCCCACTCAGGGCAAATCCCTGCTGGCAGCAGCTCCACACCGTTTCCTGCTGGCTGCAGCAGCCACTCCCTGGGAGAAGGTTCTGGCAGCAGCAGGTTTGTGTCCCCAGCACTGCCACTGCCCCATGGGTGACACCCAGAGCGTGGCAGCTCCGCATGGGGCCATCCAGAGCCACGGCAAACCCCACGGCACAACTGCAGGGAACAGCTGGTGACGGCCCCAAGGAGCACCGGCGCCTCTCCCGGGTCACTGCTGGGGAGGGCTGTCCCCGGGGAAGGCTCGCCCTGCGCCGGCTGACACCATGTGCACCGCGTCCTCCAGCTCGTAGAAAGCCTGGAAGAGGTCCGGCGAGGTGGCCTGGCACTCCAGGTACCTCCGCAGCGTGGCCAGGCTCCTCCACACCTCCCGCTCCGAGGGGCAGGGCGGCACGGCCGCCAGCTCGGCCGCGTCCTTGCCCTCCACCATGCCCTCGTCCCCGTCCGCCTCCGCCGGGTCCCCGTCGCGCTCCAGCCGCTCCCGGCTGGGCAGGCCGGGCGCCGAGCTCAGGGCCACGGCCTCGGCGCCCGCGTCAGGGGTGAAGCCGGCGGCGCGGAAGCAGCCGGCGATGAGCCCCGGTTGAACATCGCCCCAGGCTTGCGCCAGCATGTGCAGCACATCCAGCAGGCTGGGCTGCCCCGCGCCGCGCTCCGCCGGCAGCCACCGCAGCAGCCGGCGCCGGTAGTGGCCCTTGAGGTCGCCGGCGATGCCGCGGTCCAGCGGCTGGGCCAGGGCGGCGGCCGGCGGGACGAAGACCATCCTGACGTTGGACAGCTGGAGGTAGGGGTGCGCCTCGTGCTTGGCCAGCAGGAGCAGGACGCTCTTGCCCCGCCGCCGCATCCCCTCGTTGAACTCCTGCAGCCACTCGGCGAAGAGCGGGGCGGTCAGGCCGGCCAGGCTGCCGGCGCGGTAGCTCCACGGCATCTGCTCCAGGTTGACGCCCCGCAGGCAGCGCGGCCGGGGGCTGTCCCCCACCGCCCGCAGCGGCAGCTTCTCCGAGCCGCTGGCGTTGGCGCAGAGCAGCAGCGTCAGCCGCTCGCCGGGGTTCTCGCCCTTACCGGGGGCGCCGGCCGGCAGCGGCACCGCGGTCTCCCCGCAGGCGAAGATCTCGGCAGGCGTGTAGCTGCGGAGGAGCCCGGGCAGCACGGCGCCGGCCCAGTGCTCCGCCGTGGGCTGCTCCGCGTCCCCCTTCTCCGCCGGCGGCTTCTTGCCGGCGAGGCCGTGGCGAGCGCCCAGGCGAGCCAGCCAGCCGCCGCTGGGCTCGGGCTCGGGCCGGGCCAGCTGCCTGGCCCTGAGCTGCAGCAGCGGGCGGCCCACGGGCAGGTCGGCGGCACGGGCACCCTCCACCCAGCGCAGCAGCGCGGCCTCCAGCGCCGCGTCCTTCCCCTCCCGCTTGCGCTTGCGCTCGGGGTCGCCGTTGCGGTGCCACTCGCTCAGGATGCGCTCCTTGTTCTTGATGATGCGGCAGATCTGGGGCTGCGACACCCCGAAGCGCTTGGCCAGCTCGCTCTGCGACACCTTGGGGCCTTCCAGCATCTCCAGCACTCGCACCTTCTCGGTCAGCGACAGCTCCTTCCGCTCCTTCCGCGGCGCCGCCGTCGCTCCCTCCGCCGCGCCCGGGGAGCGCCCGGTGCAGGGGCCCGGCCGGTGCGGGCTGCCCGCGGCCCCCAGCCCCGCCGGTTCGGCGAGGCCCCTCCCGCAGCGGCCGCAGGCGTAGCCGAGCTCCGTGCCGCGCCCCAGCCGGTGCCGCACCAGGTCCGGCTTCTGCCCGATGCCTCGGCCGCACTCGGCACAATCCAGCGGCGGCTCCCCGGGCCGGCAGCGGCGGCTCTCGAAGGCGGGGGGCGCGGCGATGAACCCCCCGTTACCGGCACCGGGATTCGGCTCCGGCTCGTGGAGGCCGCAGTAGCTGCAGCCGCGCTCCCGCAGCGGGACGAGGAAGTCGGCGGGGCCGGCGTGGCGGGACGGGGGCGAGCGGGGCGGCGGGGACACCCGGTCCTCGCTCTTCACCTCCTTCCCCTGCCAGTCCCCTGCGGAGACAGGAGCGCGTTGCGGAGTGGCCGCCCCACCGGGAACGCCGCGGGAGCACGCCGGCCCGGTGCCCGGCTCCTGCTCCCGGTCCCAGCTGGCCAGCATCCCGCCCGTCCCCGTGTCCCGCTCACCCTGGGAGGGGCCGGCGGGGGCCGCGTGGGGCCGGGGGCTCTGCTGCCCCCCGTAACGCCCCGCTGCCGCCGCCACCCCCTCGTCCCCTCGCTCCACCTCGGCCAGGATGTCGGGTTTGGTGATGGCGTAACCTGTCACAGAGACAAGAGGAGGGACAGCCGGTGAAGCCTGCGGCCGTGCCAATGGACATGCCACCAGAGATGCCAACAGGCCAAGGCTGGCTGCCCGGGGTGATGGGTACAGGCAGCCGGTGTGGTCCCGTGGTGACCCCAGAGCCACCCCGTCACCTCCTGCTCCCGGTATCAACCCGGTGAGAGTGCCGGTCTCGCTCATGGCCCGGCCACGACCGGCGGTGCGAGGAGCGGTGCCGGGATGGCCCCGGTGCCTCACCCAGCTCGACGGGATGCTGGCGGTCCTCCTTCATGGCACCGGCACCGTCCCGGTCGTCGGGAAACGCGGCGGCAGCTGCTCCGGGTACTGCTCCCGCCGAGGCCTCAGCAGCGCGAGGGATGGCGGTGACGGAGTGATGCCGCACCGGGATGACGACGCGCGGCCGTGCGGCGGAACGCGGCGTCGGCGGTGCCCGTGGGGGCCGTTGGCGGGGCCGCCGAGCCCCGGTGGGCCGCGGTGGCGTTGCCGCACCTGTCGCCGTCCCTCTCCCCGTCCCCTCCTGCCCGCTCGGTCCCGCCCGGTGCCGCCCCCGCCCCGCGCGGCCCCGCTACCGGCGGCGGGAGCGCGCGTGACGCCGGGCCCCGCCCCCTCCGAGCGCTCCGCCCCCCGATTGGCCGCGCCGCCGCCCAATGGGCGCGCGGTCCGCCCGCCGCCGGGGGTCGCTGTGGCGCCGGGCGCCGCCGCCGCCGCTCCCAGTGCGCCCCGCGCCCTCGGCATGGCCGCTCCGCCCCGCCGCTGCTGAGCCGCCGCCGCCGCCGCCCGGCCCCGCCGCCCGCCCGCCCGCGCCGCCGCCCGCCCCGCCCGCGCCGCCCCCCGCGCCATGGCCGACTGGGCCCCCGCTGAGGTAAGCGCCGCCGGCCGCCGCCCCCCGGCCCGCCCGGCCCCGCGTCCCGCCCCCCCCCTCCCTCCCGCGGGCGGCGGGCGCGTCCCCGCGCTGCCCGGCGCGTCCCCGCGCTGACCGGCGCGCCTTCCCCCTCAGGAGCTGGAGTGCATGATGGAGCCCCAGGAGCTCGGCCTGGAGCCGCCGCTGCCCGCCCCCGAGCAGGGCCCCCCCGGCGGCGGCGAGGCCGAGCTGCCGGCCGCCGAGATCTCCCTGACGCTGGTCACCGAGATCCAGGCCGTGGACAGGAAGGTGGACACCCAGGCCGCGCAGCTGATGAACCTGGAGGGCAGGATGAGGATGGCGGAGACGAAGCTGATCGGCTGCGAGAAGACGGCGGTGGAGTTCGGGAACCAGCTGGAGAGCAAGTGGACGGCGCTGGGCACCCTCATCCAGGAGTACGGGCAGCTGCAGAAGCGCCTGGAGAACATGGAGAACCTGCTGAAGAACAGGAACTTCTGGATCCTGCGGCTGCCCCCGGGGGCAAAAGGGGAAGTGCCCAAGGTAACGTTTTGCTGCTCCCCGCTGCAAAAGGGGGCTGTTCTGTACACAGGTTATTCTGCACATATGCTGGGCTCAGAATCCCATGCCCTGCACTCACAGCCCCGTATCCTGTGCTCACAGCCCATATCCCCATAGCTCAATGCCCTGCACAGCCCCATGTCCTGCACTGACAGCCTCATCCCTGCAGTGGCAGCCCCGTTTCCTGTGAACTCCCAGCCCTCAGCGTGTGTGTACTGATAGCCCCATCTCCTGTGCACTGACAGCCCTATCCCTGCAGTGACAGCCTGATCCCTGCACTCACAGTCCCATTTTGGGAGAGCTGCAGTGCTGAGAGCAGTTCATGGCTCCCCCACAGCCCTGTGTTCCCTTCAGTGCCCAAAGCACCAAAGCACAGGTCCCGCTGTGTTGATTATACCCCACTCCTTTGCGTGTGATCTGGGAGGGATGTCTCAAATCCCTGTGTTTGGGTCATGTAGAATTTTGTGGCTCAGCCCTGTGTAACTGGGAAGGCTTGGGAACATCCCCAGGGGCTGTTCAGAGGTGATGGGCAGCAGAATTGTGTCAAAAAAGAGGTGAAAACAAGTGCTGTGCACTTGGCTTCGCCTGTGACAGGAGGAGGCTGAGCAGAGGGAGGTGACAGGCGAGTGACAGGGGAAATCCCTGTCGTGTCCCTTGAGGGATGAGGAGCGTGAGACACGTGGGAAGGAGCAGAAGTTCCTGCCTGGGAGCATCCTGCACAACACTCGAAGAGTTTGAGCGAGAAAATCGAATGAGAAAAGGTCCCCAGGTGTTTTCTTAAATGAGACACAAACCCTGTGGTGCTGCTCCTCGCAGGTCCCCGTGGCCTTCAACGACGCCTCGTTTAACTTCTCTGAGGAGGAGTGGAAGAGCCTCAACGAGTGGCAGAAGGAGCTCTACAGGCACATCATGAAAGGCAACTACGAGGCCGTCATCTCCATGGGTAACGACGGGCCAGGGTTTGCCCTCAGCCTCCCGGCACAGAGTTTTCCTGGGAACTGGTGGATGGAAGCAGCAGTGTGTCCTGCAGGATCAGGGAGGGGGTGGTGTGCTCTGGGGAGGTGTTCCACAGCCCTGGCAGTGAGTTCAGCCCTCACAGCCACGCTGAGGGTGGAAGGATGTGGCTCCCTGATGGTCCCTGTGGGCCAGCGAGTGCTGGGATTGTGAGGAGAAGGAGGAGGGCAGGTGAGAGCACCCTCAATCCAAGCGAAGCTGGGGAAGAGGGAAGTTCCTTTGTCACGCCAAGGTCCACAGATCCACTGCGCTGGGTGCATCAGCCCGCTGGCTGCTTGGGGCAGCGGAGGGTGCCCTGTGCCCTGCCTCTGAGGTTCCTTCCAGCCCTTTCCGTGGGGAGTTGTGCCGACTTCCCTTTCCTATCCCACGAGGGAGAAGTGACGTTTGCCTGGTGCTCTGTCCAGCCCCAGGGAGCGAGTCCTGCTCGAGGTGCTGCGGGCTCTGCTGGGGCAGAGCTGGGGAGAAGCAGTGGCTGAGGGCGAGCTCTGCCTCCTGCCTTCCCCTCGGCAGCTCAGGGCAGTGCATTCCCAGCCAAAGGAACGCGCTCCACTCGCTCCTGCCAGTCCTGGCTGCAGCAATTCCCTCTGGGGAACGTGTTGCCTTCACAGCATGTTCCAGACATGACCTTGCCTTGGCTGGACCGGGGGTGGGAGCGCAGACGCCGTCCCTGGTAGCCAGACACTTCCCTGTGCCGAGTCCAGGCTCATCTGCCTCCCTGCCATCCAGCTCTGCCCAATCCAGGCCTTTTCTGCTATTTTTTTCCCCTGTTTATTTCTTTGAACAGAGGTTTCCTGCAGTCCCTGTGTGCCAGGGAGAAAGGTGGAGGGTAACCACAGCCCCATTCTCCTGTTTTCAAACCAGTCCCGTGTCCTGCTCCTGTGGCACGGGAATGCAGCTGTCCTGCTGCTGCAGGGGATCTGGGATCTGAGCCTGGAGCTTAGAGAGACGTAGCTGTGCTTCATCCCAAGGTTTCCCTTGAGAAATGAGTAAAGCAAACAGATCCACCGTAGAGAGGTGGAATTTAACCCTCAGGGCCTCCCACGTGTCTGGAAGTGAAGTTTTCTGCTCTCCGCCCGAGGAGAGATGGTGATTGTCCCCTTTCCCCCACCACAATCCGCGAGCAGCCCGGGACTCGGACGAGTAGGACGGAGCGGTCCTGGCTGGAGGGAACCGCACGGGGAGGGCAGTGCTGGCAGCTCTGCTGCTGCCTCCCGAGCTGAAGCCCCCATTGTAATGGATCCGCGGACCTTAGCGGAGAGGAGAAGACAGGAGAGCCTGCAGGTAAGCCTGGATGCCTTTTCTTACTGTCCTCCTCACGCTGCAGGCTGGGAGGTGCTCCTCACCTGAGCAGAGCGTGCTCCTGCATCCAGGGCCCACGCAAGGTGAGCGGGGCAGAGGGCTGAGAGCAGCTTCCTAAGCCTCTCCCGTTCATTTTCCAGCGAAGGAAGGTTGGTGGGCAAAAGCTGCAGAGTTGCTCTCCCACCGGGGCAGGGGAAACATTCTCATCCTCTTTTTATGTGCAGACGCTGCCATTTCCAAGCCTGATCTGCTGACACGGATTGAGCAGGGAGAGGATCCCAACGCTGAGGATCAGGAGGACTCCGAGGGAGGAGAGACCCCCACGGACCCCAGCACTGGTGAGCCACGAGATTCCTGGGACTCAAGGGGCAGGTAGATGCAGATGCGGGGCTGTTGTGTTTTGTCAGCTCTCTCCTCAGGTATTGGGGACTTTGCTTTTCCACTTGTCTCCCACCTGATGCATCTCTCTCTCCTGGAATCCTCTAAAGCAGCTGGAAGGTTGGAGTGTAACTCCTGCTCTTTTCTCTTGCACTCAGAAGAATTTTTCTTCCCTGGGCCTGATGACAGCTCATGGGGTAAATATGAAGAGACTCTGGCTGAAAGCCACGAAGGCTCTGAGGAAGAGGAGAGCATGGAGGTCTCCGGTACATGTGAGTGTGCTGAGCTGCTTTGGGAAGTGTCCCTTGCCTAGATGTGCTTTTGGCTTCCCAGCCTAATTCCCAGAAGCAGCTCAGTTTTTCTGGATGATGCTTTTCCAGAATTTCAGGAAGTTGCTTTGAGTCAGTTTATACCATGGGAGATCCTTCACCCTCAGGCGCTGTCCAAGCCCATGAGGAAAAGAAGTTTTATTCCCATTTCCTCCGTTTTTTGGTCTTTATCCTAAAGCTTAAGTTCTTAAAGACCTGCCCTGTTTCAGGAACCCTCTTTTTTCCTCTGGCTACCTGCCTATAACTAGATTATATATTTAATATTATATTACAATATAATTGAAAGCAGGAAGTTGCCAGAGTGTGTCTAGAAAAGGAAATGGACTTGGGGAAGTGTCTGGAACTACAGGATTAGCTGAGGGAGCTGGAAAGGGGCTCAGCCTGGAGCAAAGGGGGCTCAGGGGGGACCCTGTGGCTCTGCACAGCTCCTGACAGGAGGGGACAGCCGGGGGGTCGGGCTCTGCTCCAGGGAACAGAAACAGGAGGAGAGGGAACGGCCTCAGGCTGGGCCATGTGAGGCTCAGGGTGGATATTGGGAAAATTCATCCCCAAAAGGGGCTGTTACATGTTGGGACTGCTCAGAGCAGTGGTGGAGTCTCCATTGCTGGAGGGATGTAACATCCATGTGGATGTGGCACTTGGGGAGATGGTTCGGGGTGGCCTTGGCAGTGCTGGGACTTAATAATTTCCAAGGTCTTTTTCAACCTCAACAATTCCAAGATTGCGAGTCAAGTCCCTCTGGGCAGAGTAGGTGCTCCCAGGCGGCCTCGCAGCCCCGTCAGTGCCAGGCTCTGAGCTGGGTGTGCACAGCAGAGACCACCTGAGTCCCAAGGAAACCGAGTGAATAGCAGCCCAGTCCTTGCCTCCCCGAATGACACGAGTGTCTCTGCTCCGCCAGACAAACAGCCGTGCGATGAGGAAGGCTCCGAGAGCCTGGAGCTTTCCAGGTCATTGACAGGAAAGTGGGAAGAAGAGGTTTTCTCCAACCCGGAGGAGGAGGTGCAATCGAGCAGCAAGAGCCAGAGCGGCTCGGCCGCGCCGCAGCGAACGGCGACGGGCAACGGGCTGAGGCGCTCGGTGCGCCGCGGGAGAGACTTGGCCAAGAAGGATCCCGAGGAGGCGGCGGCCGACAAGGGGCCCTACATCTGCTGCGAGTGCGGCCAGAGCTTCCTGGACAAGCAGCTCTTCGCCACCCACCAGAAGGCGCACGCCAGCGAGGAGGCCTGCACGTCCCTGGAGCGCGGCGAGAGCTTCCGGCAGAAACCCAAAGCCAAGGGCCAGGGCCCCTCCCGCTCCAAAGCGTCCAAGCGTCCCGACGGAGAGAAGAGCTCGGGATTCAAGTACGGCTTCGTCAGGCACCAGGTGAACAACATGGTGGAGAGGCCCTACACCTGCTCCCAGTGCAAGGAGAGCTTCAGCCTGGAAGTGAGTCTGATCCTGCACCAGAAGCTGCACACGGGGAAGGGCGACGGGCCGCTGACATGCACCTACTGCGGGAAGGACTTCCGAGACCTCTCCAAAGCCATCCGCCACCAGCGCATCCACACCGGGGAGAGGCCCTACCAGTGCACCGAGTGCGGCAAGAGCTTCATCCGGCGGGACCACCTGCTCAAGCACTGGCGGGTGCACACCGGGGAGACCCCCTACCAGTGCCCCGTCTGCGGGAAGCACTTCCGCTACAAAGAGTCCCTGAATTGCCACCAGAAAATCCACTCCCGCAACCCGCGGCCCGGGGAGGATTCCCAGCACAACCTGGGCTCGGCGGGCACCCAGACCGACCATTTCTGCGTGAAAAAAGAGACTAAGCAGTAGCCGAGGTGGGGCCGGGGCAGGAGGGCTCGCGGTGACCGTGACGGTCTGGCAGGTGGACGTGCAGCATGATGGCAGGTGACTTGTATCGCAGCTAATCCGTGTGGTCATGCTACGAAGCCCGCTTTGGTGAAGCATTCAAGGAATTCCTCTTAAAGACTCTGCTCAGCCAGCCCAGGCAGCTCTGGGACCCCGCGGGGTTCCGTGGCGCTCCCACCGCGGCGCAGGCCCCGTGCTCGCTGTTCCCTACGCAGGGTTGGATTCTGCCCGTAGAGAATAATCCCGAGCGATTTCTCTGGGGTCCGTATTTAGCAGGTGTTCCCCCACCTATCTTTGTGCATATTCAGGAGTGACAAGCTTTTCGCTTTCTTTTTTCCACTCGTTTCACTGCAAGGCTGGAAGCGCGAGGAGGGAGGGAGGGAAGGAAGGTGCCGCTCCCGGCCGGCCGCCCGCTCCCGCTGCGTCGCCGTGTCCCGAAAGGCTGCCAGGCCAGGACTGGGAGGAAGGCAGGAGAGGCGAGGCAGAGAGGTGCTCAGGGCACGACCCACGCGGGATTTGTGGAAGGCGGAAAAGCGGAGAGGAGAGCGCGGCAAGGAGCGGGGTGAGATGAAGCAGGTGCAGGAGAAAGGGGCTGAGGACTTTGGAGCAGGAGGAGTCGGGAAGGGCAGCGTTTGGAGGCGCGCTGGGTCGCTCACACGAGGAGGAGGACACGTCTCCGTTCTTGGCAAGGGTGTCGCTGGCACCAGCCGGGCTGTGGTTCCCCTCTGGCCCGGGGGAACGGCGCCGCTGGGCCGACACGCAGACTCCTGACAATGAAGGTGATTTTATTATTATTTTTTAACTGGGTTTGGTCTCACTCAGGTAAGTCAGACGAGTGAAAGCAGCTTCTCCTAACCCCTGTAAAGAGCTGTTTGGTTTTTAGTTAACCTAGAAGTAGTCCTATTATTATTATTAATTATTATTATTATTAATTATGATGATGATAATACTACAAGGAAAGGTGTGACACTATATTTCACAGTTGCTCTAAAACACTTCCATGTATGCGATAACCGCCCGGAGTTTTCCAGCCATTTGTGTAAATATTGGATGACTTCTGGAGCTGTTGGTGTTGTTCTGAGGTGGCTGTAAGTGTCTCTTCGCTCTGTATCGTCAGCTGCTGATTCGTGACCGTGTTTTGTAATAACTTTTGTAAAGTCTGTCAATACAGTGTTTCCATTCTGAACTCCGTGTCAGCCCTTGGCAGGGACCTGCAGCTCCCTCACCGTGCTCCTGGCCGGGAGCTTTTCCAGGGAATTGGGGAGCAGGTGAGCAGCACAAGCCCAGCTGGGCTGGAGAGCCAGGCCTGGCAGAGGAGGCTGCTCTGGGATGCTGCAGCTGGGATTGGTGCTTTTAACTTAATTTGGGGTTGTGCTCCGGGAGCCAGCCTGTGCCACAAACAGCTGAGGAACCCTTGGATCCGTGGTGGGATGGAGCTGGGATAGCCCACACCAGGATGAGGGACAGAGAGAAGCGCTGGTGGCTGTGGCCAGCTGGGAGCTGGGATCATGGAATCAAAGAACGGCCTGGCTTGGAAGGGGATTCGTAGGGTGCCCAGCTGGTGCCACACACCATCTTTCCTTCCAGGTTCCCTCTCAGCCCAGCATTCCCCAGGCTCTGCCAGAGCCCAGGACACAGAGACAGTTCCCTCTCCCCACCAGAGACCCCACGAGTTCCAAGGAGGCCCAGGGGTTGTTCCAGCTTGGGACCTGGTGTGGGAGGGGAGAGGGCAGCCCTTGGGTCAGAGCCACCACGGGGATGTGGCACTTGGGGTCCACAGAGACCAGGGGGTGCCAAAGTCCCTCAGCCATCCCAACCTGTGCTGGGGGCCTGGGGGGGATAGAGTGAGTGACCCCAAAGAAACCCCAATGCTCTGAGTGACCCCAAAGAAACCCCAATGCTCTGAGTGACCCCAGTGAATCCCCAATGCTCTGAGTGACCCCAGTGAATCCCCAATGCTCTGAGTGACCCCAGTGAATCCCCAATGCTCTGAGTGACCCCAGTAATCCCCCCTGTGCTCTGAGTGACCCCAGTGAATCCATTCTCTGAGTGACCCCAAAGAAACCCCCATGCTCTGAGTGACCCCAGTGAATCCATTCTCTGAGTGACCNCTGAGTGACCCCAGTGAATCCATTCTCTGAGTGACCCCAAAGAAACCCCCATGCTCTGAGTGACCCCAGTGAATCCATTCTCTGAGTGACCCCAATAAATCCCCCATGCCCTGAGTGACCCCAATGAATCCCCCCTGTGCTCTGAGTGACCCCAGTGAATCCCCAATGCTCTGAGTGACCCCAAAGAAACCCCCATGCTCTGAGTGACCCCAGTGAATCCATTCTCTGAGTGACCCCAAAGAAACCCCAATATTCCGAGTAACCCCAGTGAATCCATTCTCTGAGTGACCTCAATGAGTCCCCAATGCTCCGAGTGACCCCAGTGAATCCCCCCTGCGCTCAGTGTCACCAGCTTCCCCCCCAGGGTGTGCCAGGGCTGTGCCAGAGCAGGCAGGGATGGGACTGGGGTGGGGTGGGATGGAGCAGGGCAGGTGGGATACGGAAGGATACAGCGGGACAGGATGAATGGAATGAGATGGGACAGAAGTGGATGAGACGTGCATGGAATGGGACGTGATGGGACAAGATGTGGGATGGACAGGGTGGGAGTGGATGGGACAAGAGTGGACACACAGCATGGAAGGGGATGGAACGGGATTAGACAGTGAATGTGTGGAGTGGGATGGGCCAGGGCATGAGGAGACAGCGCAGGTGGGACAGGAGGGCATGGATGGGACAGGGCGCGGTGGGATAGACAGAATGGGGCAGGGCAAGACCGGGAAGGACAGGACAGGATGGATTGGGATGGGGTGGGATGGGAGAGAATAGGAATGGATGACGTGAGAGGGGACGAGATGGGACGGGATGGGATGGGACGGGATAGGACGGGAATGGGATGGGAAGGGACGGGACGGGATGGGACGGGGTGCGGTGCTGCGGTCCGTCCGGAGGGGAGGCGGTGGGTGGGGAGGGGTCGCTCCATTTCCAGGGCGCCGCCGCCTCCGGCCGCCATTTGCGAGCCCGCAGGGATGGGCGGTGGGGACCCGACGGGCGGGGCCGGAAAAGCTGCCCCGGGGCCTCCTCAGTGACCCCCCCCGGTCCCTGCCCTGCCCCGCCATGTCGCCCCGAGCCCCCCGCGGTCTCCCCCACTCCAACCAGCTCCTCCCGTCACCCTGCACCGCCTCCTTCCCAGTTACTCCTCGGCCCCCCAGTCTCCCCTTGCTCCCCGCTGCCAGCCCAGCCCCTGGGGCAATCCCCGAGCGCCCCCAGCCGCGGTCAGTCATTCGCCGATCCCGGTCCCCCCCGGTTTCCCCGTTCCCCGGTTCCCGGTGCGGGCGGGGCCCCGACGGGGCGGGGCGCTGATGCCGTCGGCCCGCCAGGGGGCGCTGCGCGGCGCGCGCCCGCCCCGCCCCGCCCCGCTCCGCGCGCGGTCCGGCGGCGGCAGCGCCCCCTGGCGGCGCGGCGGGGCAGCGGCGCGGCCGGAGCGCCGGACCCGGACCCGGACCCGGAGCCGCGCTCGGTGTCGGAGCCGCCGCCGCCCCCGCCTCCGCCGCCTCCGCCCGCCAGGCCCGCGCCGCCTCCGCCCCGCCCCCGCCGCGCCGCGCCCCCGCCCCGCCGCGCCGCCCCGCGCCCAGCCCGATGCCCGGCGGCGGGCGGAGGTGAAGCAGCGAGCGGGCGCTGGATCCTCCCGGCCGCGGCCCCCGGGGCCCCGGGCACGGAACAAAGGGCCATGGCCGAGGGGGCCCCCGCTCAGGTAAAGGGCGCCTGCCCGGCGCGGGGCCGGGCCCGGCGCGCACCGCCCGCCCGCCGCCGGCGGGCCGCACGTCGGGGCTCACGGGCCGCGCCGTCGGGGCCGCGGCGGGCGGGGGGGGCGCGGCGGGCGGCGGGCGCTGTCACCGCGCGGGGCCGCGGCCGCCCCCCCGGGCCGACGGGCGGGGACGGGACGGGCGGCCCCGGGGGGGCGGCGGCGGCGCGCCGAGCCCGCCCGGGCCTCCGCGGCCGGCGGCGCCCGCGCTGCCGTCGGGGCCGGGCCTGCCCGCCCGCCGCGCCGCCGCCCGCCCGCCGCCGCCGGGCCCTGCGGCCCCCCGGCACCGACCCGCCGCCCCCCCTCCCGTGACACCGCCCGGTCCCCATGGCGACGGGGCGCCCGCAGCCCCCCGGGTGTCCCCTGGCCGTGCCCATGGCAACGGGGCTCGGCCGGCCCGTGTCACCCCGCGCCCCCCCGCCCTTGTCACCTCCCCCCACCCGCGCCGCGGCGGGTCCTGCCCGTCCCGTGGGACCGGCACGGGGCCGCCGTAAGCGGCTTAGCGGGGACACGGGGACGTCCCCGCCGCCCCGGCCAGCGCTGGGCCCCGCAGCGGCCCCCCCCGCGGGGTGCGCACGGCCCCGGGGCTGTCCCCATCACCCCGGGGCTGTCCCCATGGCCCCGGGGCTGTCCCCATCACCCCGGGAATGTCCCCATCGCCCCAGGACTGTCCCCATCACCCCGGGGCTGTCCCCATGGCCCCGGGGCTGTCCCCATGGCCCCGGGGCTGTCCCCATCACCCCGGGAATGTCCCCATCGCCCCGGGACTGTCCCCATCGCCCCAGGACTATCCCCATCGCCCCGGGGATGTCCCCATCGCCCCAGGACTGTCCCCATCGCCCCGGGGATGTCCCCATCGCCCCAGGACTGTCCCCATCACCCCGGGGATG